TGCTGCTGTGGAGTCAGAGCCCCTCAGTCCTTGGTCAGGTAGAGCTGTACCTTCATTTTTTTTTTGCTTGTGATCGCTTTGAATGCTTCCTCGTGGGAGGAGATAAGAAGCCTTTTCAGATGAATGATTTTCTGATGTCCAAGTAATGATTTAGTAAATTACTACACTGAAACAAGAACTTTATTAATGAAATGAATGAAATGGGATGTAACTTGTTTTGTAAAATAAAAGAGTAAACAATCCTGCAGCTTGATCTTGCTTTGTAAGATAACCACTGTGACACAAAGAATGTGGATTCTATACATTTCTTAAACCTTCATTGCTTTTTAGTTTGTGTTCGTTACGAGTGAAGGTGTGTTTTCGAGAGGAGTGACAGCAAACAGATGTAAGATGTGCTGACTTCTGCTCAGTGCTGTTCTAACAGCACTCTGCAAAGAAACCCCTCTGTTTCTCACCCCCTGGCATGGGGCCCTGTCTTGCTGTAGTGTGGATTATGTTGTGCCTTTTGTCTGCTTTATTAACAGGATGACTTTTGCTTTGCACCTATTATGCTAATACATTTAGGTCAAAGTGTTGCTTATATCTGTTGTTGTATGTTGTGCATTTTATTATGCTTTATTTTTTGCTGGATATTAAAATCTCTTGAGTAACTCATGGCCATACAGAGGTGTGTGTGCAAGGAAACATCAGTTCACTGGATATAACGCTTGATAAGTCTTCCCAAGCTGAACTTTAGAACCCTGTGTAGTGAAGTGTGGCCTTTCTCTCATGAATGTTATTTGTCTGCTTGGATATACTTTATTTTTTTGCACGTTAGAAAGATTCATGTTATGAGTGATTTAAATACTATTTCTTAAGAAAAATGTGGACTGAATGAGCTTAGTTTTGTAACTGATTTTTTTTTTTAAAGAAATACCTTATTTTTAGCTATAGTCAGTGTTTCTCTGTAACCACCACAGTGATGCGGTTGTGGTAATCACTGAATACCACCACCAGGTATCGTCAGGAAAATGCATTCCTTACCACCTGCTGGCAGTCTGCCCGTCATGGTTCTGCTCTTGTTTCAGGTTAGTCTGATAAGTAACTAGGGCAATCAGTGCAGTTTGTAGCATCATCACAAAGACCACTCTAAATGCAGAATTAAACAAATGGAACATTTTCCCACAACCTTTGACTGTCACACACTGAAAATCACCATTGGAAACTTCTTTGTGAGGTTCCAGCCCCTGCTAGGAGAAGAGCAGAGCTTTCATGGTTTTGATGGCATCACTGTCGCAGCTGCAGAGATACTGTAGTCATTCTTAGGACATTTGAGTAACTTTATGCTTGTAATTCATTGAAGGTTTTTTTCTGTCTGCATGGTTGGTTGGTGGTGCATACTGAGAACATTCCACTTGTCCTCTGATAAATGTCTCTTGATGCTGAGTCCCCAGGTACCATCACTTTTCCCAACTAACTTGGGAGAGACAAGCATTAAAGTTTCTTATTTAAAGATCCCATCAGCAGGAGATTTCAGAACGATGTTCAGAAGTGTCATTTTACTTTTCTGATGGTTATGTGTTCAGTACATTTTACAGGACCGAAAACTTAAGTATTCCTAAGCCTTATTCTGTAAGGTGTTCCAGTAGCTGGCCTGGCTTGCAAGAGATTATTTTCCATTTTAAGTAGCCAATGTATACACTTGGAATTGTAATGTAATCCATGTACTTCAGATTTCTGTTGTGCACACCTGTGGAAGGCCTATGCAACTTCTTTCTCGAATTAGAAATGTTCAGAAAGAACTTTCTGAACAGAAATTTTTACCTTCAACATTTTAAAAGATGCTCTGGCAGTCTCTTCTTATTTGCCTTCCTTTCATGATTTGTGAAGTTAAAATTACGATGCTCGTGAATTAAAGGTGTCTCATTTAGTAGTGGGGATGCCCTCTTTCTTTCCACTGAAGCATTAGTTAATGAGAAACATTTATTCCCAGGTTCAGGGCTACCACAGTGCTGAGGGCACATGTGATCCGTTTCCATGGTTCTGGTCAGCGGAACGCTGCCTTTTGTTTATGTACTTGAGTGTTCCTCCCTGTTACTCCTGCCAGACACCATACAGCTGGTGGTGTTTAATTTGGGCAGCACTACACAGAGCACAGGGCTGGGCGGCAGTGGTTTTGGAAAGGCTGGGAAGCACAGGCCTTGTTTTGGCAAAGAAAAAGGAAAAAGATTGAGTTGTTCCCTCAGTTCTGAAATTCGTTCCATTTAAATTTCATCACTAACAGAGATTACCTTAAAATAAAAGTCTGGATTACTGCAGCACTGGACACTGGTGTGGTCTGCATTTCTCACATGTCGGATAATGTGTCTGGTTTGTTTTAAATATTCATCCACATTGTTGGGAAACACCATGCCAGAGGACTTCGTTTTAATGCAAAACAGAGACCAACCCTGGCTGTAAATGAGACAGGAAATACCGTTCAGTCATGTTCCTCACCTCTCCTTGCATTGCTTCAGGGCCATGGCGTGTTTTAAGCATCGTTACTGACAGCTTTAGTCACAGCCAAATGGGATTTCATTTCAGTTTTCTCTCAGTGGCATTGATATGTACAGAGGGCTGAGTCAAAGCATTTAACTGCTGCTTCCAAGAGTAATCTACTAAGATAGGTACTTAACAAACAAACAGCTTCCCCCTCCTCTTTCGCAATTTCTTCTGCAATTCAGAACGTTTCTGCTGGGATAAACAGCAGCAGTGGTGTTCTCCTTGCTCTTCCTAGCAGTGCCCAAGTGATGCCAAACTTGAGCATCAGCTATGGGTGCACAGGTGTAGTTCTTCAGCAACTGAAGGGCTGAGCCTGGCTCAAACATACTTTTCCCTTTAGATTTTTACTCCTTTGTAGCAACTGTGTTTCAAACTCCACCACCCTTGATTCAGTAGAGCAACAAGAAGATTGCTGTGAGGAAGCACCCCGGGATGGAAGGTAGGTTTGAGAATGACGAGAACTGAGCGTGCTGCCCTTTGCTGGTACAAGGGGGGCTCAGCTCTTGTAAGAGCACCAAGGATGGGAGAAGCGGGCACCTGCAATGTGCTGGTTCCTGAGGGACCAAGGAAGGTCACACAGTGCCTGCTGGTATGTTGGAAAGGCCTTTTTTTTTTCTTCCCTAATGGTGTCAAAGCAAATTTTCATTGTAATGCAGACTGCTAGTAAAAGCCTTGAAGTCAGATTAGATTTAAGAATGCTCAGGTAAGTAGTAGTTAAACTTGGGCCCAGCTGCTTGTCCTTTCATGTTGCTTTAAAAATACTATAAAATTAGTAGTTATTTCTGCTCTACTGTAGGAAAATGCTGACAGCTAACATAGAAAGCATTTTTCCACAGAACTGTAAAGATTCTTGGAGATGGGAGGGTCACCTCTTAAGCAAGGCTGCATTACAGCTAAACAGCAGACTGACCAGCAGCACCTGCTCAGCTGACTTTTGCACATTCTTTCAAATGCCTGACTGCTTTTTTCTTACCGCTGCTGAGCAGTCAAGGTGTAGATTTGTTTGGAATACTACAAGTTATGCATCACCCTTCTGCTTGTATGTAAGTGATGGCTCTCAGGCTTCTCCAGCTGCTGGCAGTATTCACTGCAGGGTGTGTTCCCTGAAACTATCACAGCTGCTTTGGATTTCCTCACAGCGGAGGTCCTGTGTTTAACTTAACATCCTTCCAGCTTTAGTAAGTAGCTGCTGTGGATTCACTGCAGCAACTTCCTGAGGTCAGTAACTTTGCATTACCCAGTCTGAATGCATGAATTTATTGCTAGGACTGTAAGCACCACATTACTGAGTAACCACAACAAAACCAACACAACACCCTTATTAACACAAAACTTGAATTAACTTTATTTTCCCCTACAGTCAACAACTGGTCTGCATTGAACTTGAAAGCAACAAAATAAATGAAATCTCCAAATGACGGGGCCAGAAATCCAGATTTAATTACCTCTGTGAAAACGCTTCAGCTGTAGTATTGGTCTGTAAAAAAACCACTGGAGTTGGAAATGAGTTCGTAAATCAAAAATATTCTACACCTTGGGAAAGAAGTCAGCAGTAACATTCTCGTAAGGACACTGTAAATTTACATTTTCTTCATGAAAGGTACATACTATTCTGCACTTCACATCAAGTCACTGATGCAAGTTTTGTTTCTGTAAAAAGTTACAATCTGTGGCAGGAAAACAAACTGCAAAACCCTTTCTTGCATTTTATCCAAAGAAAATGTTCAAGTTTGTATAAAGCTTCCCTATAGCTGGAAAGTGAACACGTTCAATCTCCATTTATATTACTTTAGTGCATTCAATGTGACAGTTTTCACCACCTTTTTCTTTAAAAAGAAAAACAACAAAAAACAAACAAGAAATCAGTATAAAAGACAGAGGAAACAAATAGCGCTACAGCGGGGATTTCTTCAGTTGATTTGAGCACTAAATAAAGATGCAGAGAAACAGATTTCCAGAAGAACTTCTGCCCTCCAGGTGAAGGTGGTGAGGGCCAAAAGGTTTGCAAACCCTCTACCACTGCCAGACACAGAAAAGGGGTTGTATACCTGTCAACCTTTTTCTTTCCTACAACAGGCTCTGCTTGTTCTACTAATGTAAACATTTTCCTAAAATAGTTTAGTTTCAGTTCTGAAGCACCAGCCACAGTATGGTGCTCAGCTGTACGTTTCTATAGCATTCATTACTGTCGATTCAGCTTTTTCCAGAGGATGCAAATTTAGCCCTTGTATCTGTAATGTGCAAGGTTTGCCTCGTCTACCTGATGAAGCGATAGCAGAAGGCAGCAGCACTGCAATTGCTGCTAACCAAAAGCAGCTCATCCGGTCGGAGCCGTCCCCCGGTTATCTGTCCTGCCCCAGCTCTGCTGGGAACTGCAGCTTTGCTTCTTACACCCCACATCAAAACCAGCCTGCAGCGAGAGGAAAGGACGGCTGAAGAAACCATGGAGCAGTAATTATGGGAGGAACTTACTGTGAAAGTTTAATTTCAAAGACAGCTTTATTTCCTCGTAATTGTCGAAAACAAGTCATTTTAGATTTAACCATTCCAGTTTACATGCTGCTGCTCTTCAGCTGAATGTATTCCAAAAAGAGATTGACAAGTATGCATGTGCCAAGGACCAAATTACAGGGTTCTTTGGTGCAGTCAGTCCAAATTCTCAACCGATTTGAAGGATAATATGTACCAATAAAAAAAACGCTGCTAGACTTGGATAGCAGCTCTGTCTTGCTTCACATTACAAATCTAAAACAGCTGTTCTCAATAAGCCAATATTTTTAATCAGACATTGCCTGAAAATTTTGTACAATAATCTGGACCAATGATGGTTCTGTACCCTCATGTTGCTGTGAAACATGACTTGAGCTAAAGGCAAAGACCGGTTATCTCAAGGACAACTGCTTCGTATTAGCATTCGGAACAGTGTATTTAAACTGTCTTCCTGTTGGGTCTCTTGCCTTTCTTTAAAATTAGTTTATTCTTAATGTAGCCACGCTTCCTTTTGGAGGTCTAAAAAGAAAAACAGAACACAATGCATTAGTTAATGATTTAATCTGGACCGCGATTTTAATGCCGTGCGTTTCAATCTGAGCATTAGATTTATTTTTAAAGAGCTTAATGGGTAAATCCTCAACTAAGTAATACCTGTTTATTATTTTTAAAACTGCAATTGTTAATTCATGCCCAGCACTCGCTTTGGTATGTGCTGTACTTTTCCAAGCTGCATATACACAATCTGTAGAGTTATTTTCAAAGCTTGAGCTGAGGCAGAATTAATAATTAACCAATGTGATAAAGCTTTACTAAATAGGCCAAAGAGCAGAAGTGACAGCATTAGTTTTGTTTGGAAATACCACCTTACATCTTTTGCCCTATTTGGTTCTCTTTGAAGTTGGCAAGGTAGATAGTAATATTTGCACAAAAAATGTTTTTCAAAAATAAGAGAAACTGCACACTCATATTTTAATCTTTAGTCCTCTGCTGCCTGCAGGCTAGTTAGTGCTTTCTGCTCATGGGTCTTTATCAGTGTTTTAGGTTCCTCTTTCTTCTTTTTATATAATAAAGGTGGTGATGGGGAGATGCTAGTCTTGGCTCGTATTAAATTCAAATGCATAAATAAATAGTCAGCTCCTGGCAAGCAGAGCTGCACAGTGAGCAGCTCCCACACTTGCTGCAATGTGCCATGCATAGCAGCAGGCTCCTTTATGTCCATTAAAGACAACTTTTTAACTTTTTGCTGAAAATAAGTGTTTTAAAGTGAGATATCAACACAGTACTCAGATTTGGTACTCTGGTGAGTTTGAGCAATGTCACCCTTATTGTGGAAGAGTGACAGGAGAAGGACTGGACTTCCAGTAAGGAAGCAAGCATTTGAAACCCTCAGCTACTGCAGAACCCTCAGCACGTGATTAAGCAATCTGAGTTTAGACACTGGCCCCGAGTTCTTTCCTGGTTCACTCATTTCTTAATGGGAAATCCTTTAGTAGTTGGTGCTACAACAGCAGGTGCTGGATCAAAATTGCCTTTAGAGAGAACCAGCACATGCACAGCTCTAGCGAGGTCAGTGCATTTACAAATACTACTTACAGTCCTGCTTTATCACCTACAAGCAAAAGTAACACTGTATGTTAGGTTCAGAAAAACTTCTGTTGTCTTTTTAAAGTAAGACTAGCTTCTTTGGCAACTCTCAAATGCCTTATTTCACTTAAAATATGCAACTTTTACCATTTTTACCAGTCCCCTCCAACACTCCTTATCTGTACTTATATGACGGATGTATGTTTACTGCCTGCACTAATTCACACACATTTCTTTCTGACAGGATTCTGGGATTCCTTTTGCAACGTATGTTAGCATACACAGGGGTCAGAAGCCATGAAGGACAGGGCTGCTGCTACAGTTCTCCCGTGCTCCCTGATAACAAATCCTTCTTAGCAGGCTGAAGCAGCACGCCAAACTAACACTAAGATGACATCGAACAGTAAGCAGCCAGACACTTAAGTTCCATCAACAAAAGTTTCATATTTAATTTATTTTATACAAAAGTGCCATTTTTAAACTTCTAGGCATCACTACTTTCAAACAAAGTCAGAAAGCAACTTCCACAGAATTTACTTAGTGAGCCATAGTTACTGAAACATGAATTGATTTACTTTAGAGAGTATAATTCCAGTTACATGAAGACTTAGGAGCTGTAACAGCCAATGACACGCTCTATTTCCAGTTAGTGTTCTGCCTAAAAAAAAATCTAGCCTTGTGTCTTCACATGCTTGTAAGTTAAGCAGACAGTAAATTAACAATTATTACCAGCAGGCAGGTCTGATATTGGACACTAACATGAACAGTATCCGTAATATTCTGGCTAGTGGAAATACATAATTCACCCGCTATGTGATTGACTTAAAAGTAAACTGCCCTCTCTTGACCCTCCGAGTTACTTCACTGGGAACCCACCTTCTTTGACAAATACTTCTGTTTCGGTACAATGTTGGTTACTCTAAGTTTATGATCCAACGTCTCCCTGTTGTCTAGTTGTTTCACCTTGTATATTCTAACCAGCCAGTGCTCTGAGGTAAAGGCTTCCTCCAGATGTTTAAATTTAATGTCCTTGTTTCCAATCTCAGCGTTTCGCGTACGATCAAATCCTGGGGGTGTCCGAAAATCCAGCTACAAAGATTAGAGTTGTGTATTAGTTAAGACAAAACCCAAAAGCACATCACCACAAACTGTGGTGCTTCATACCACAGGGCAGCAATTTCCACTGGTCTGGTCAAAGGATGCTACTTCCTTTATTACATTGGTCATTGCTACACAGAAAATACTCTCTTATTCTCAACTGTAAAAATTGAGAAGTCTCATTCATTCCTGCAGTTGATGCAAGAAACAGCGCTTTGTATCTTCGATGGAAACACCACTTCTGCATTCAGAGATTAAACTATTCCAGTGAAAGACTAAGGTACAGCAGCTCATAGCAGGTTGGGTTTTTTTTGGCACAGCTGTTAATGTGTACTTTTCTACTCTCGTACTGAAATAGTTTGCACTTCCATGTTTCTTCCGTACAAGTCCAAAATAGTTTCTTATTGGGGTTATCAGTTAAATTTGACCCCTGTGTTAGGAACACGATCCCTTGGCTGCAAAGCTATAGCTGAATAAAGGGCTTTTGTGCAAAGAGGTCAGAATGAGGAGCCCCTGGGACAAGGGCTGGTGGTGAGAACAGGAGAAAAAAGCAAAGCAGGCCGATTTAGCTACAAACATGTTTGATGATCCCAAGAATTGTGTGTTTACATCAATTATGCCCTCCCCCTCTTATAGCATGGTGTTGCATAATATACTGGTGTGACTTGGGTAGAAATTGGATGGTTTCTGACAGATACTAAATAAAGACAATTATTAATAGTTCTGTTTTGCTGTTAGGAACAACAAATGCTCCCCACCACATAAGAATTGAAGCTTATTGAGTGCTCTGCATAATGGAATTAGGACACTCATCTGAGACCAAGTAAAGGACAGCACAAAGCTAAGTGTCAGTCTAGGTTAGCAGTACAACTGCTTCTGCCTAAAGGCTCCGTGCAGAAAGTAGTTTGGAGGCATTATAATTAATTGGTGAAGATAACTTCCTTGCTTAACGATTCTACTATTAGGAGCAGTGCTCAATCTAAACGGTGGAAAATGCATCAAAGTAACATTTGTATTCTCACATTTTAATTATGGTTTAGTAGAAGAGTTAGCACTAACCTGCATCTCTCCAAATCTGTAATAGGACATCTTATACATGAGGCAGTTCAGCAGTGTTGGAGAACCTGCCTTGTCTACCCGGAATTCTCCCTGAGGAGTGAAGTAATCACTTTCCTTTAAAAGCAAAAGAAGATAGAGTCAATATAAACTAAACCTCTATGTAAGGTAATTTCTCATTCCTTTCTCCACAAAAACCAACAGAACAAACCACCACCACCACCACACCAACAAAGCTTTCGTAAAGAATCTAAATTGACTTAAAAGCCCGATTCGAGTCAGTCATGATGGTGCTCACTGAAGGTAGAATCAGTTACAAACTCCTCACTGTAAGCTAAAATGCTGCAGAACAATCTTTCTACATCCCTGTTCTTGTCTCACTACAAATTTTGTCACTTTACTGTAAACAGTCACTGGAAAACTGACTTGAAAACATACAAACTAGTTGGAGGATGTCTGCCCGAATTACTCTTGAAACGTGCAAAGCACCATACTGTTAATATACAAGATCTGTGTGTTATTGTAGACTTCCTTTGTGCACAGTTTGTACCTATAATTTTTTTTGCTGTTTTCACCTCAAGTGCAAGATGAAACTCTCCATGCAGCTTCTCCATTATGCCTGTGCTGTCTGAAAGTTTTTGTTTGGCTTAAGCAAATATCACTGCAGACTTCTGCAATCAGAGACATTCAAATAACTTCAACTCTACATAAATAAATATTAATGCTAGCTTGTCTCCTGCTATTACAGAGTTTGAAGAAATCTGTAACACCAACTATTTAAACATTCTGAGTGCTCTGACTTGTTTTTTAGTAATTCAGTGGTGCACAGGAATGATAAAAGATACCTTGTTCTTTTATTACAATGCATAAAAGAAATTGAAAAGCTTTTGAGATTACTGACCTTTCATAGCTAAATACTGAAAGAACCTGTGCTACAGACTGCAGGCCTCTGCCCTGCTATTGTTCTGGAAGAACAACCCCTAACATATTTCTCAAATAATTGCAGTAAATAGAGATTTCCCTCCACTGTGATGAACACGACAAAGTAAATAAAGGTTAAAAAAAAAGAAAAAAGTGGAGGTGAAAATACAGAACAAACACATTCAGCCAAGAAGCTTTCAGTTTCCCTGCGTGCATTTCCACTTACCCGAATATCTTTGGGATGTTCCCCCTCTGCTATTCTCACCATCCACAAGAACTTATTGATGTCATCACCAGAGTAGCCGATCACACCACCAAAAATAATCAGAACATAATCCACATCCAGACTTCGCATGATCTCGTATGCTGCCGATTCATTTGAGGACATGGCCTTTCCCACCTGCATCACAGCAAAAACACCCTCAGGATCTGTACAGCTCCCTAATGACCACGTTCTCAGGTCAAGCATCTGCAAGTCCAAAAATACGGTCACCCACCAGATCCCACAATCTCCTTCTAAGTAAATAAAACAGATTGTCTTTATTTAGAAGGCCTAAAGCTCAACCTGAATGGAAAAGGCTTCTGCTCTGCAGGAGAAGGAAGGGCTGCCTACTGAAATGAGCTATAAGAAGTGTGGTAACAACCGCTTTCCTTTTGTGGCAGCTACAGATTTTTCCAGTGACAGCTGCATTGCCAAAAGTTGGTGTGGCAGAAAATGCCGTGCTGCAAATTATTTGCAGCCTGACAGGAATACATTTTTTGAAATGCTGGTGTTCTTTTGCTGTCCCCCTCCCTCCCTTTTTTTCTTTCCTTCCTTCTGTCCCTCTCTACTACAGCAGTCATGCTGCACTGTGCTCAGTAGCAGATAGGCTTCCTTGGTGTGGAATTCAGGGAAAGTTTGTGGAGAGAAAATACCAGACCAGAGTTACCTTTGAGTTAAAAGCGTAGCACTGGCAAGCCAATGTTTTGGCCCTGAAAATCTTTTTAAACTGTATGTAAAAAATCTTCCGGAATGTTCATTTTTCCACTTAAAAATTTAAAAATCCACTTAGGTCACTAACTGGCATCTGTTCAGTAGTCCTGTTTGCCATAGAATCTCCTGCACTTAACAGTATAATAATGTCTCACTGTAGTAGAAGGGCACAACTACCATATAAATAATACTGAATCCAAATTGGTAAAATTCAGTTAAGAACTTGATTAGAAAATACTAAGCTTACGCAGCAATCTGTCAAAAAGAAGCTCAGTTTCTTAGCTATTATCTGTATGAAATTATTTGGCAGATTTCCATTTCTGCGCAGGAAAAAGTCATCTGGCAAATATTTCAGGGCAATGCCTCATTCAGAACACAAGTTCAGAGATGTGCCACAAAGCACACGTAGTGCTTACTTCTCCCTTTGTTTGCAGATGGAAGCTACCAACTCTCCAGTCATACTGGGGAGAATTCTTTATTAAAAACCATTAATAATCAGTGCTGTAACGTGCACAGTTACTGTGTGTACAAAGTACAGGTGATTGTTTTATGGTCTGTCTATTCACCTTATACATCTTGTCCTGAAGAATCTGCAGGTTTGGACTTAGCATCTGTACTATAGATACTGGCAACAGCAAAACAGAGCTATCTATAGAGCAGATGAACACAGACAGACAGACATTCAGTTTAGAAGCTCTGTAACACACTGACTCTGGCAGGTCGACAAGAAAAAAAAAGAGAAAAGCCTCATTACATGGGAAGGCTTGCTGACTAATATCAGCAACACTGATTCAATTTCCCAAGCTTTCTTTTGGCTGATTCTAGCTCCCTGCCACTGCCAAAAGCACCTCACCTCACACATTTTTACAGTACTTGGTATGCTTCAAGCATAACTCAATTAATTTGTTCATTTTGAACGCTGCTTGCCAGCACATCTGGTCCAACTGCTGCGCTGGGTACTGACAGAAGACAGAAACTATTTTGTCACTTTCCTCAAGCTCTTCCTGGCCCTCTGCCCACATCACAGAACACAGGTCTTGTGGGAAGAAGCAGGCACTGAGTGGTGGCTGACTACACAGCACCTAGGAAGGCTACAATGTATGGCATTCCTTTGTTTCTGAAAAAAGGATAGTGCCTCTGTAGGCACAGACAGTGCTAACAAACGCCCTGCCTTAGATGGCACACACAACCCTTATACTTCAGAACTGGAAGAAATTAAAGGTACAGATGTTTTATCAAACTGCAGATTTGAGAAAACAATCACTTCAAGTCTGCAACACTTCCATTGCTACTTTCTCCGATTTCCAGGATGTCAAAAAAATGCATTTCATACGGTCGGTTTTCAGGGTGCCACTCAAAATCCAGTCAAACGCATTGCTGAACTGAAATGATCTGTGTTTGGGCAGTGCTGGCCGAGCAGTGCTACCAGTGAGTTTTTCTAGTGCATATCTCAAGGGGAACGGTTACACAACTCGATGCTGTCCATCAAAGAAAATACGATAAACTGAAGTGGAGCCACAGTTCTGGAAACTCCAACAAAACAAAATGGAGAACCCAAAAGCAGAATTGATCATGTCTAGCTCCAAACCAACCTTTATTACAGAGCTGAACTAACAGCCAAGATACCTGCTCCTTCCACCTCTGTTTCTTTGTGTCATACTATCCTTCAATAAACATCTACACTTTCTGTCCAGAAGAGGACACTTTGGTGCTGGCACTCGCCGATCAATGCCATGCTTACCAGGGCTATGTGGCTGTTGTTCCAAGTGTTGTTGTCAACCAGCGTGGTCCGATTGGCCATCCCTGCGATCTGATAACCGTAGTCCCACCACGACATTACCCTGGCATGCTCGTCTGTGTTTTGTCTCAGCCAGTAGTAGGCTTCCCTGAAGTCATCCAGGATATTGCGAGTGCTGGAAAACAGAGTTCATTTTATTCACATCAGTACAAATATTGGCAAGGAATTGACTGCATCATGATAAATCTGGGCTCACAAACAAAGTCCTTTTTATACTTTCCACTCCCTAAGAGGCATTCAGTCCCTAGCCTGTACTCATGAGCTTAAACTCGTGGACAGCTGAACAGCCAGAAGCTGAAACTGCTTTTCAAGACGTGATTAAATGCATTTCCAGTTGAATATACATTCATTAACAAATTGTATGACCCAAATACCTTTTTTTTTTCTTTTTTAAGCTATTATGCTTACTGGCTTTGGACAGGATTTATTTTCATGTATTCATATTAAGTATTTTTTGAAATGTTATGTATTTTTGAAAAGTAGAACGTTAAGACTTTTTTTTATTCAGATGACAGTTTTGCCTTAATATAACAAAAAGCAAAACAAGTTATAAACGCAAAGGAACTGGAAATGCTTTTGCCCTATAATTATTTTCAAACCTGTGACACTACTTACCCATCATGGTTATAAGAAGCAAGAACAACGCTAGGGCTGGAGTACGCATTGCTCGTTACCCACGTACAGTGGACAGCAAACATCATCAACAGCATCAGCATCAGCATGGTAACAATGTTTTTGATGTTGGGCCCTAGTCCTTCTTCTGTTTTCTCCTGCTCAGATACATGTTTTCTCACTTTGCCTGCCTGAACAAACACAAACATAGCTGTTATGGCAAATTCAATCATCCATAGCAGTGAAACCAAAATGGCCTTTCCTTCACTACATGCACTCCATAAAAGCTTTGGGACACTGCAAAAATCAGCAAAGTTCTATTGCAAATTAACTAAGTATGCACAAGAACATTTTGACAACGCAGCAACTTGGAAGAATGGATTATTCCCCAAAATCTTTTCAGAAGAAGAAAATCTGCTATATGTGACCTGGCTTAGTGTGATGATGCCCTTTTATAAGGCGGAGTGGAAGAGAGAGAGACACTGGAGTCTACTGTGAGGAACAGGGAGAAACCCTCATGCACTGGTTAGTGTAACATAGGCTAAATTATAAAAACATGAGTAGGTAACACCATCTTCTTCAGGAATATGAGTACAGAAACACCTTCCCATAAAATACATTATTCTTTAATTTCACTCTGTCTAGGAGGGAATACAAGAGGGAAGCAGTTAGACACTGGGTGACACAAAACCACTGTATTAAAGGAGAGGGAGCAACTGCCTGCCATCACCCATATAGAAAGCTGGGTCAGTACTGCAGACTTCCTTTGGTTAAAGACTCGCTGCTGATCGGTTAGCAGGCACCACTTCTCTACTGACACTGATTTTCTTTCAGAGCATCACTTACAGCTTATTGGAGAAGAGCACTTTGTTACTCTAAATTTCAGATCTTTAGGAAAGTTCCAAAAAATAACAAAGCTTATCTCTATTAAACTCCTAACTTCTGCTCCCTGTCCTCACCTTATCATACAAGTTGCCAGGGTTCCTTTTGTCATCCTCATCGCTGCTGTCCTCTATTGGTGGATTCTCCCTTTTCATATCATCACCCAAGTAACGCTCAAAGACATTAGAGAAAGCAATTGCAGACAGCATACAGACCACAGGAGTCAGAGTGAGCATCAGACGAACCATCACACCAGCAAAGTAAACGGCACTGATTGCATACAGAGCAACTGCACAGGAAGAAAAAAGAAACCTCCTGATGACATTTAGAAAGTAACACTCCCTGTGACTGCACACATACATGCTCACCAGAAAACTATTTTGGAAGTGGGCTGAGTATCTGTGTGTATAAAGACTGAAGCGTGCATCTTGTACTGCTTTTTAATTTACATGGATAATTAATCAATGCGTATCCTTTTTAAGCCTCAAGTCCTTCCTGAAACTCATCTTGCCAACTATTAACAATAACACGACTCCATTTTCATATTCATTAATAATGTGTCAGAAGATCCATTATTAGTGAAATTTAATAGCACACACCAAAAAAACTATTGGAGTAGTAGGTAGTTTCATTTGGTTAGAAAGGCCAAACAAGTTATTAAATCTGAAAAAACAAAGAGCAAGGATTAGATTCTCATATAAACATCAAAATTTAATTTAGAGACATTCCTGAACAAATGGGGGCTTGTCTACATTACAATACAGATACAGAAGATGATACTGCAAGCCCTATTCCTAAGCAAGTTTTCCTGGACAGTATTATTTCCACTCCCTTCCTTTGCTTCCCCTCACCCTTTCCTCCCCAAAAACCCCAAACAAAGCAGCAACAAAACAAGAACAAAATAAAAACCACAGGATTTTCAATATAGGAATATTCACAACACTTTTCATAGGAGAAAAAAACAAGAACACAACCTGCATGCAGTGTTAGGAGCATCTGTTGTTCATGTAATAGTGGTTATTGCTAGTTTGCTACAGCTTGACACAAGCATACACTTTTGTGAAAGATTTGTGATTAGCTGCAGAAATTATTAAGGGGCACTGATTTATCAGGTTGCATTGTATAAGCATTTTGCACCTTGTAGTGCGATGCTATGGCTCTCTGCTCTCACTCATGGCTCTCTTTAAGCTGACTGAGATGCTGCAGCATTAGCAGGCTGAAAGGGAGTCTTGCAGCACTGCTTTTTGCAAGGACTCATGTAAGCAAAAGAGCACAAAATACTCCGAAGTCACAGGATTGAACACAGTAAATGTTCCTGTTGCTCATGGCGTAGTTCCAGTAGGCTGCTGTAATGGACTGTAACCTTCTGCCTCCGTAACAGAATGAGGGAGTGTGCTTCACTCCTCCTTTTGGGCTACAACTCCAAGTTACATCCTCAGAAGCCTCATTCATAGCCCCAGCAATCTGCTCTCAAAGTAAAGCTTCATACAAACAAACAATTTGTTGTCACTGGCACTGGGAGACCCCACGCCTTTGCTTAGGCTTGTGCCTTATCTAGCACTTGCTCCACAGCAAGTGATTCAGTTCACTAAAATAGCTGAAAATCTGTTAAGAAAAGGCACTTTGCATCATCCTCTGTGGTGGGATGACTGCCAGGTACCCAGAGAAGAATCAGGCGCCTTGGACCTGCGTGGGGGAGGGTTGCTGCTCTGAGCTCTTCACCTGGCTGTGAAACTGCACCCCTAACCCGAGGGCTGTGCAATCCACACACAGGAGAGCCACACAACAGCACTGCACAAACGCTCTGACCCCACCTCACAATAAGGCACTCCATCACCAACCCACCCCTCTCCACACGAGCTGCATTTTCATTAAGCTGTAAATACTACTGCATGCAGGCAACTTTGAACATTTCCCCCTCTAACATATCACATTCTAGAAGAGGTTTAAACATGTCATAAACCACCTTTGAGCAAACAAAACCAAAACAGAATGAAGTTGAAGACAAGAGGTTTTGAAACGATTTTGAAATATTTTCTCTTACCAAAGACTCTTTCATCATTGATGTTTTTGATACAGAACCACAGCCCTGCTGGGAAAGTACACACGAGAATATGCAGATCAAAAAAGAAGGAAACCCATGTTGTAGGCTGATGCTCAGACACAGAGGCAATGATCGGGATGTGAATTTTCGCATACCTTTTTTAAAAAAAATTCAGTTCAAATTATTTTGAAGAGATAAAATTATTAAAACTTGTAAGCATTAGGAATTCTGAAATTCATTTCAAAGGAAGCATTGCAATTGAAAATGCTAAGTGCTTTATTTAGCAGAAACCTGATGAAACTTTAGTACCAAAAGATGTCCCCATGTCTTATTGTATGTAGGAAGGATTTTTGTGCAGAGCTATTTCAAGCATCAGTATAAAGGATCATTTCCATACTAATTAAAAGAATGAGAATTACAGGCGCTTTGTTCTATAATGGCTAAATAGGAAGCCAATTTCACCAGAATGAAAACACACAGCTATGGAAGCCGTCGTTGTATTCCAGCAGGACACTCACCCATGACAGCAAATTTCCTAGGATTTCAATAGTGTATTCTGAAAGCCTTTTTCCATACCAAACACCTTCATTTGCTTAGTGCATTAAGCCAAATATTAAATACCAGTCCAGTTACTGATGTCCCCACATTTTCTCAGGTGCTTTAAATCAGGTCTGGTCTACACTTGGAAATGCATGTTAACTAAACACATCGAACACTCAGTGCAGATTACGACAGAATTGGGTTCCACATGAAGAGACAGCTCTGCATACAGCCCTGATCTGGGAAGCTACGTGACCAAATGGTGAGCTATCAAACGTGTCCTTTTCTTCACTGATAGCCAGGTCTCACTTAGAAACTGACGTGTTTTAAACACAATGTGATTCTTGAATGTAGACAAGCCCTCCAAATTTTGATGTTTGTACATGTGTGAGCAGACTGCTTCATTTAGAGGCAAGGAACATCATCTATACATTTTTCAAATAAATGTGAGGCTTCTTTACTGATAGCTATTCTACTACATTTATTACTGGGTTGGTACAGAATCTTTTATCAGCTGGCCTTCGAAGCCTGATAAAAAGCTGAACTGCGAATGTTTGAAGTTCTCCTACCCCTGCCTTTAATCTTAAAGATCTACCAGTTAAAACAAACCTTCAACACATTTATCTGCAGAATACCTTTGGTTTTATTCGTAATGTCCATTATTTAAGTGTCCGGCTAAAGAACTGAGCACTGGAATTTGTAAAGTTAACTAAACCGAAATTTATTTACAAAAACACACATGAATAAACCAAAACTGTTCAGAGTAGACATCTGTATACACAAAACAGATGTATGAACATAATAGACAGGCACCATGCAAGATCATGTGTAACAACTTTGTGATTTCGTGCAATGCTGCGCAATGAAAACAGTGTAAGTTTAAGGTTCTTAGTAATTCTGAAATGTGCCCTCAAGTGTTGATACCACCTTTCGTTATCTTATGCTGAGATGACGTTTCATAGACAAACATACAATTAACATTCTCAAAGATTTCCAAAGAAGCAAGAAATTCAATAAACAAATTTGTGATGAAGATAAAACGGTTGCAAAGACCACGGAACAGTTACTGCCAATGTTCTCTTTAGATAACTGATCAAAATCAACTGTATTCTCATTTACTGAAATACTAAATGGATTTGAGAATGAGGAGAACAAAAGATTATCAGTTTTCAGTAGAAACTATGAACTAATGATAGCTAACATTATCCTTTATCTTTACTTACCCGGTGTCCCACAGAGAATAAAATCTGCCACTCCAAGGAGCGATATAACCTGAAAATGAGAAGAAAGGACAAGACTTTTGCTGCCTAGGTATTTAAATGCAATAATTTGTCTACATCTTTAAAAGAAAGCACAAAACTAAACACCAAAAGAAATTTCATTAAATGTGTAGAATAAGTGAACTAGGCCTACTGCATCAGGTAGCTTAGGATGTCTACCAATCATGAACCTAGTTTTAGTGATGAGATCACACTGGACACGTTCAGTAGCAAGACATACTGAACTATCTGACACCTCCAGAAGTCAAGGTGATGCAAAATAATTAAAATATCTCTCAAAGAATGACTGATAGCAATCTATGTTCTGTAAAGAAGTACCAGAAAAAGAAATGATGTGTGGTCCAGATGTTAGCACCCTGCTGCAGGAGGATTATTAAGAAAACACAAGTGGGAGCTGAGTGCCATGAGATAGATGGTCAGCAGCCTGGATCACACAGCAGGTAAGGAAAAATGGAGGGAATCAGGTTTGTTCTGTGTGGTGAAGCAGTGACACTTATGGAATCTCAGAAATGGATGCTAACACTTTCTGAGAAATGCAACATAAGACGTATTTTGCGACAGACTGAGATTAGAAGCCAAACGTCTTGATATGCCAGTCTGAAATTTTAATTTTTTTTTTTACAAATATTAGTAGGATTTGCTCTTTCACCCTGGAAAGAGAATTATAAACCATCAAGGTTTAGAAGACTTAAAGGCAAATATTGATGCTAAGTAATCTTTTGGAATAACGGTATCATAATTAACAAAAATAAAACTTGCAATTAAATGTCCAAAAAACAGCTGATACCATAAAAAAATCTGCAGTAGAAACACTGCTAACAGGAAGTACAAGAAAGAACTCCATTAATATAAAAACAAGTTAAACTTGAAGAAAGTGGTTGTTTCGTTTGTAAACCAACCAACCTCTCTAAAAAACATAACGATATATGAGGTATATATTAACATCACCCAGTTTATACCAAGCAGAATTCAGTTTCGGCATGGGTGACATTTATATAGGAAAACAGGTGACTTTTTCTTCATTGGAGGAAGAAAGTATGGAGGTAGATGACCAAAGAAATATGTCACAGAATCAGAAAAAGGCAGTGAGGCATGTGAGGAACTCAACCATGCAAAAAAAAGCTTAATTTTGTAAGGCTGAGTAGAGCTATCTTGAAGATTGGAGGCTGAACCACAGAAGAGGAACTTACAGACATAAATTAATTTCAGTGATATAGAAATCAGGTTCAATTATTCAATAAAGTAGCTAACTTTATCTTGATTTATCAGTGGTATACAGAATAGATTAACTATGTTTATCTTCCTAAAGGGCTTCTGCTATACTTATGTTCCTCATTCCAACCTGACTTCTTGCATCATACTATGAAAGAATGAGTCCTGCATGCACACGTTTTATAATGCTCATCTTCTCCCATTCTTCAATTCTAAATGCGCTCTTGGTATTTTGATGTGATATTGATATCTGTGCTCTTCAGCTGATGATCTATTTGATCTCTTCAGCTGATTTATAAGTCTAAATATCCCCAGTATCCTCAAATCCAGGAAAGAATCCTGCAGCCCAGAATGCAGAGTGAATGCCAGCACACAGACACATGAGCTAATATGGGTGCTGGTTTGCTCTGAGGTTACCAACATCTACTTTTGACTCAGCCCAAGTTTTGATTACCTCGGTTACCTGCTCCAAAGAGAATCTGTTTTCATGTTTATTTACCTGTGTATGTCAAATAGATGACACTCAGGAATACAATACCAGCAGCCAGTGAGACGCCCAAGAAGAACAACGTCTGAAACTCTTGCTTTGTTAGCCTGTCTCTCAGATACTGCAAAAATGCATATGCCTGCAGCAATGCAAAAACACCTAACGAAAGACAAACATTTCTGTTTAAATGCTGAAAACAATTGTAAAAGCAATTGGCAAACTTAGTCCCTATCTGGGTTAGAAAAATACACACCATGTATATCCTTACATCTGAAAACCAGTATAAAATTACATTCTGACAAACTGACTTTAATAGTTAACAGAGATGATAGTTCCTCAGTTATTGCAATGAAGTGATTTATCCACAAAACGTTCTTTGCTTATTATGTATTAAAAGCTGCCTTTTTGCTCCCAAAGTAACTTGGGAATAAGGGGGAGAAACATCTGAAAACTAGACTGCATATATTTTGACAAAGGCCAGTTTAATATACCTAGATATTATGAAAAAACAACATGCAGTTCTTGGCTAGCTTGAGTAATGAGCTACAAAGACTCTGGACATCATAAAAAGTCAGTCTAATAAAGAAATGTATGGAAATCAAGTTACTGAACCAAACAATAGGATTTAATGGAAGGAAAAAAGAAACCAACATCCAAGTAACACAATCTGAGTTATACAAAGCTAGTGCTGAAACACCAGAACTTGCTGGGTAAACATCCTGCACCCTTAAAAAGAATAGTTCCAAGTCTAATATGGGAATTCTCTGCTGTTATTTATTTCAATGTATATAATCACATCAATCCAATGATTTCACCACTCAACAGCTAAAATCACTGGTAAAAAACCAAACACATGAACTCAAGCATGTGGTGGTTCTCTAATCACGAAACTGTCATACATGATGTTGAAATTCATTAGTTCCAAAGCCCCAGAGAAGAGCAAAATCTCTGTTCACTACATAATTGTAAAATTATTCTGATGCAAACTATGATATGATAATTTTTACTCTATCCATCATATGCAGAATGTTGAAAGAATCTCAATTAAAATCAAAAACATGCTAAAAATATTTTTTTCTGGTGAATTTTAATCAACATCCAATTGCTCTCCAAAATACATTTTAAGTGACGATATGTAACTGAAACAAGGAGCCATCTAACAAATTAAGCTGTGCCACAAAACCGCTCTGTGCTCCTAATAAATAATATGCATGCTCCTACGTCTAGCAGACTTAGTAAAGGTTACTGCTGTCAAGAAATCAAGATGTCTGAATGCTTAACAGCTACTGAGAATAAGCTTAGTTTAAGAAAACAAAGAATCAAAAAGATTAAAATCAGTAATTTAAAAATCAGCCTCCTATATGTAATCTGTCATCTGTAGTTAACTCACTTTGAGAAATTATCAACTCTAAAAACAAATGGCTCAATAAGAACTGTGTTTACCAGTAACAAATGTTTCAATTATACAACACTTGAAAGCAGCATTATATTGCAATACAGCAGAGATTATCAATGTGTAAAATAAGTGCTTGTCAGAATGCATTAGTGATTCAGCGTTATGGAGGCATTTCACTTCCATTAGCTCACACAAAGAAGGATAATGTGTTGATTGGAAAGAAAACTTCCCTACAGATACTAAAGAGTACCTATTTTCTTCAACAATTTGGTTTGTTAGTTTGTGCCGTTTCTAATACAAGGAAACAGAGTCACAAGGGTTTGAGGTTTTCTTGTGCTGAACAGGCTGTTTGGAAGCAAACAGTTTTCTTACCTGCAGCTGCCATGTGTTCACTTGTTCTAATTGGTTGAAATCCCACAAAAGGTATCTGCATTGATAATATTAACCCGACAATGTAGAAAGTGCTATATGCTGGAAAAAAAAAGAGGGAGAAAGCAGACGAGAAAAGTGTGAACAAAATTGTATACACAGTGCAAAAAGCACTGATTCCACAGTAGAACCCATTCCTCATCTCCAAACAAAGAATGACACTGAAACACAACTGTACTGTTTTAAATATTCTGGCCATTACTTGTTTTCCCTAAAAAAACACATGAAGCAAAGTAGTGCTCTTCCTAACTACACTGTTGTTGCTTATTTTTCTTCCTATAGAAGTGAACCGTCTACCTAAAATGCTGTAGCTTTGCAAGTTTTCTCTTCCCATTTGGCTTCCTTATTTTTCCAGAATATGGGTGGGAGAAGAGATCTCAGATAACAAGTGAAAAAAGCAGCTTTCCATATGAGGATAAATTAAAGGAGCCAGGCTGCAAACACACAAAACATTTAAGAGTGCACTTACAGAATGAAAAAGGTATGCTTGTTCTGTTTTTAATACAAGAACAGAGGCATGCCAAGAAACTGAAAAGCAACAGAAATAAAAATGAATATTGAGCATCTGTACTATTAGATCTATACCAACAGTGTGCGCTCATAACCCTCAGAAAGCTGAGGCCAAGAACACAAAAGTATTAATACCACAATTCATTATTTCAACTGAAACGATATTCATGTACTTCATTCTGACAGGATTTGGTTCCTAAATACTCCAAAGTGAGAAGGAGATGGAATGACAAGAGAGAAATACCAACTACGAACAACCGCAAGTCCGCTTACATTGGAAGCAGCTCCCCAGCTCCAAATCCAAACAAGGCTTTCTTCCCTCAGCTGCAACCAGCAATGACGTACCTCCAAGATTTTCAAAACATTCTTACACATCATAAACCACTGGGCTTTGTTATGGCTTCAATCTTATGAGGAGATCCTTGTCCTCATATAATCCTTTACTAAGACAACTGGTTTGGGACCCCATCATATACCATTGGTATTATTTTTGTTGCAGCTGTGTACTACACTCCTAAGATACTGTATGCTTTGCAAAGATCACAACAATGACTGTCATGATGCTTCCAACCACTTCCAGCTGTCTTTGCTGCCGAATCCTTTGAAGCATCAGTATTCTGCTGCTTGGCCTCGCTACCCCTCTATTCCCTCTTTATGCCACTGAAATGTATTTCTGCCGTAGGAAACTTCATTTTTGAAGAACTCACTACAACATAAATCACTTATTGTATCATAAAAATGCTGCAACAGTGCCATCCTGTGGAGGTTTAACGATGGCATAAATCACTAGATTTCACACCTGTTAGACCATTTTGAAGAATCATTTTTAATTCTACAACTGCTATGCTTCATTTGCCCACTTTATTCGCACCCCTCAAAGCCCACTTCTCTCAAGCAGCCATCACATCTGCCTGCTTGGTATTGAAGGAATAGGTAGTCTGGGAAAACTTTTTGAGGAATTCATTACATGAAGGTGATACTGCACCACAAACTACCCATGTTCCTGTGCAAAGACTGCGCAAACAGCAGAATGTAAAACCAAGAATTTGATTTGGATTCCTGAAATGTATTTGATATCATGGATGCCCCATCCCTGGAGGTGTTCGAGGCCAGGTTGGATGGGGCAATGGGCAACCTGATCTGCATCTAGTAATTTAATGGTGGGTAACCCTGCCCACAGCAGGAGGGTTGAACCACATGGTCTCTGAGAACCATTCCAACCCAAGCCATTCTATGATTCTATGATTATAACTTTGATTGGACCAAAAACTGAAAAAAACTGACCTTCTGTTGGATAAAATAATTTCACACAATTTCAGTTATTGTACACTGTGCAAACTAGAGAAAAAAAACTACTAAAACTACTCCAGAGGATACAATCAGCAGTTTTCAATTAATGGATTAGAATCACCAGAAACAAACACTTATTGTCTTAAGCTTTACAGTACTTCAGTAGTTAATAAAAAACATATGATAAGACACAACACAGAAGCAAGAAATTTAGTTTTATATGCTGGCAGATCGCAGAATTGTTTGATTAGACTAGATGACCTTTGAAGGTCCCTTCCAACTCCAAGGGATGCTTTTCTGCTCCACCTACTGCAGGGAAACCTGTTTTTATCAGAGGAGTTGGAATAGCTGATCTCCAGAGGTCTCTTCCAATCACGACAATTCTGTGATTCTGTGATTACAGCTAGATAAGGTTGCTCAGTGCCTGGTCCAGCCTGACCATGAGCATCTCCAAGGACAAGGCAGCCACCACAGCTCTGGGCAATCTGTTCAGTTGCCTCATCACCTTTATTGTAAAAAAAATTCTTCCTTATATCTAATCTAGATCTCCCCTCTTTTAGCTTGAAACCATTTCCCCTTGTCTTATCTTTAAGGTTTTTTCTTTTGAAGTACACAAAAAAAAAAAGAAAAAAGAAAAAAAAAAGAGTAGGTTGAAGTGAAAATTGCCAAATCTCCCAAGCACACAAGGCTTAAATCTACATCAGTTCCTTTCCAAACGTAAAACCATTCATGTTTTAAACTTGTGAGAAACTACAAGAGAAACTATACATAAAATAATAGAAGATAACACCCTGCATTCAAATAAAGAGGCTATTTTTCTAAAAAGCATGCAGATTTTACTAGCTACTGTCATCTGTCAATAGGTTACAAAACAGTTATCGCTGCACATTGGTAGCCTTCAGAAATAGGAGACTCCTGCATGCACACTAGTAATTGCGCATCACATACGCTCCAAAAATATCCTCCCTACTTCAATGAGCTTTCATCTTATCCTATCTGAATATCTGGCAGTGAAACACACTTCCATTTCTACCCAGAAATGCTTGAACATTCCTATCAGTTTTTACAAAAACATCCTGCTAAACAAACCTAGAACATGCACATTGCTGCAAGATGCACAGACATCTGTAAGGCTTCCTATGGACGTTTCAAAAAACAAGAGTACTTATGCTTCATTGTTTCTGGTTACCACATCCTTTTAGGATTTTATAACAAATAACTTTCATTTTCTCTTGCCTAACTCACAGAAGCTGAAAATGAAAATATTTAATGAAGTGATTTTAAAAGAAAAACAACACAGATTGCTCTCCCCTGTAACTATAAACAAGTAGTCAATGAAAAAGTTCACAACTACTAAAATTGAAGGTGGGTAAGAATTTCCTCCCTTCTTTAAATTAAATTTTAGATTCTGGATTATAACAATAGATAAGCAAGAAGCAAGAAACAAATATCTGTATTAGGGTAAAAAATGAAAAACAGAATGTGAGTAACTATTATATATTTGAAGCACTACACGCTATCTGTAAATATTCTGATTCCCCTAGTAGGTTCCGAAAAAAACCCAAAAAATTATTAAAAATACTAAGAGAAAATCAGTACTAAAATGGGTGACAAATATACGTTAACTAACACAAGACATGACACTACAGTTCAGTGAATTCTATGCTCTCAAACTATCTTCAGTAAAGGTTTCACACAAAGGGATCAAAAACCTTTCCAGCTACCTTACACATTTTTGAATCCTTGAATTGCTTGTTTCATTCACAAATCCACACCACAGCCAACTGATTTAATAGGTAATATCTCTCAACTGTTGACACAGTATGTAAATATCAGGCAAATCAAATAAAAAAAAAAATTCTCCTAAGATTGCTATCCAAACATTTCTGTAACTGGCAGTAAGGTTGACCCATTAACCCAAGAAAATGTAAAGGAATCAAGTGGAGGTGGCAGACTATTGTGCTGCATGTGAGTCCAGCCTATATAAAGCTTATATGGTTGCTTAAAATTCCCCATGTCTTTTCCTGTGTAGGTCACAATATACTGTAACATTTGCAAAATTATTGCTTGCAAAACGTTTTAAAAATAGCAGCTGTTTTATGTACTAGGAAAAGAAAAAAGATGAAACTTTCTTTTTTATTTAGAATGCACCCACACAATGTACAAATTAAATGCACTAACAGGATTTTAAGAATATCAAACCATCCAGTTGTTTCTTTTTTTCAGTGCACCAGAAAGTAGAAAATGAATTAGCTGCAATGTATCTGAAATTTTGGAAATGTGAACAGGACGTCTTAACTCTCTACTGTTGCAGACAGCAACTGACTATAGTCAGTAATTCAATTAATGAAATGCAATTTGATGTGCAATTACTTCATTCCCACCTAATACAGAAGACATCAGTGTAATTTCATATCTCATGATCTTGCGCTTGACAATGACTGTTCAAAGAACAAAACTTACCAATGTAGACCCTCCTGCTGTACCTCTGCATCAGCAGCAGAACAAACACATGCAGTGGAATAAGGTTGATGATGAAAACATAACCACCCCATGCAGAGACCTGTGAGAATTGGAATGGGAAATCAGCTGCAAGAATATTTATGACAGTCAGTGCTGACAAGAAAACACAAAAACCATTTAGACATGAAGTCAGAACTACTGGTAATACCAGAATCTTTCTCAAAACGTTCCACCAAAGGAAAGGAAAACAAAATATACAACCCCCCATAAGCAGTAATATCAAAGCATTAAAGACATTTGAAATGGGCTACTGCATTTTCATGCTGTCTTGCTTACAGCTCCACAGCTCCTCCCAAGATAACTTGGGCTGGCTGGCAAACAAGAATTTGATGCTGGGGGCTTTTCCTCCCGGTGATGGATGCAGCACATGGCAGCAGCAGTACTCCCACCTGGGATTTGAGATTTCCATTCGACACACAGTAAGCACGACGCCCTGCACTTTTTGTTTCCATCCAGAAAGAAGAAAGGGAGCAAGGAACACTGGAACCCAACAGAACTGTTGGGACAACACAGCAAAGGGAAGTTGCAGTGTAAGAAAAGAAACAAATGGAAGAGGGCAGATACACAGGGAAGCAGGGCTGAGCACTGTGGAGTGGCGTACAGCAGGATCAAGGAGATTGTGAACCTGTACAAACTGCGGTGCTTGAGAACTACGGGTAAGATGTACTCGGAACTGAAACGTTGCAGTGTTATCGTTGTATCACTCGTTGGTGTAGATAAAGAATTAATGAGCTACTATTAAAATATGTTATCTAAATTTTTAATACATTAAGAAGGGCTAATGTTGACTAGGCAGTCTGTATTTAACATGTTCTCTTGTCAAACTGCAGTCTAGACTTCTCCCATATGTACCATGCCTACCCCAGATCTTCATTTTCAGAATGCAGCAGCTATGTGGTTTTTACTTTAATTGTACTCCAAGGCTTAGTTTCATGCAGGTATTTTTAAAGCCCTAGAATCCAGAAACCCAAATATCTATATTTGATGGAACAAATTCTAAAATAAGGGCAAAGTTAAATATTGCTTTCTGATACTCCAACTGCAAACCAGGCACTTCAAAATTTGGGGTGACTGATTTATACAATGAGAAACAAGTAGAAAATTTGAGAATTTTCTAGGAAATAATTTCAGATTATTGTCATTCTACTGCCACATCACTACCATGAGCTATCATGTTTTACACAGGTGTGTGCAACTGCTGACTCACAGCCTGAAGCACTGATTGATCACCTGAGGCGAGCACTGAGTCAGCCATGGAGCACAGGTGAAGGCGATTCAGCTGTGTGATGGAAGGGCTGGAGCCTGGCTGCACCTCTCCTAGACCCCCCTGGACTGCCAGTGGGAAAGGATCTCTGCTGGAGATCCCTCCTCTGGAGTTATGCAGTGAGCCCAGGATGCAGGTAAGCATTCTATCTATTCTCTTTTTGTTATTATAATCTGCTTTGCCAAACTCTCGTTTATTTAATAACTGTAACACCTTTATACTCATTGACTATACAGTGGGCAATTTCATATTCTGAGAGAAAATACTATACAAAGACAGGTAAGATAAGAATAGAATGAGAACAAATGTGTAATTAGGACATTGCCACGTTCTGGCAAAGGCTTCAGTGATGCACATAGCAAGTAGCCTGCATGGACTAGAGACTTGTATTTCTAATTAGCATTTATTTGCTAATACTGAACTAGATCTACACTGAAGATTGTACTGGAGGTTTTCAAATGTTTCCTTGCAGAGTTGCAAGTAATAGAAACATGCCAATACTCTGAGTACTCAATTTAAAGTTTTATTTTTTTCCTTTGTTATTACAAAGCATCTGAAGTAAAAGAAACTAATGTTAAATAAAAGCTAAAATATTTAAATGCAAGAAAAAACACTTCATCCTTATGGAATGCAACGTGATATTATGAGTCAAATCACCAGAGTTAGACATGTACCTTAAGCAGATTCAGATATAAGTAAAGCTTCTTTCAGTTCATGCGATATCCATCTCTCATACAAGGAGCAGTTCCCCACATTCCACAAGCATGGAATCACCCTCGCTACCTCAAAACTGTCATTGTTTAACTTGCATTGAAAAGATCACTCATTCCACCAAAGGAAGACAAACTAATACTACATAATGCATACGATGATGATGTTGTTCTAGAAATTTATGTAAGCAAAATGCCAAGGAGGGCATCTTTCTGAAATACTTCCTCAAAAAGAAACACAATATATGGAAAGCCACCAAGAGAGATGAAGCAGGTGAGCTCTGTGACCAACCAAATTCTCATCTAATCACTGACACTAATTTATAGAGAAACAGATTAAGCTTTTAGCAGTTGGCATTGCTTTGAAGGAAAATGAAAAGAATAATATATAAAAGAAAATGAACATTAATTTACATTAAGGACTGAGCGTCATGATGATGACATTGATTCTTTAAATTCTGCCACATGCACACTCAGGACCATATCCCTTCCTTCTTGAAAAGTTCCACGGACCAAGATGCTAGTCATACTGAGATGAGAATTGCTGTTCTGTGACTTTTTTTATCAGTAAAAGTGAAGAAGTGTCTTATTTGCTACTGCTGTGGTTTAACACAGCGAGCTTCTTACCAAAACTACAGGTCTTCCATATAATGCAACGTAAATACAAATGTTATGTATAAAAAAGATGCTGTTTGCTGACTTAACAGAAAAGAGGAGAAATGAGAGAAAACAGATGCACTCCCAAAAAAAACAATTAACATTAAAGCTAAGGAAATGTAGGCAGCACCCACAACCTCTGAATTAATGCTCTACTTTAAATTAAGGTATGCAAAAGAATTCTGAAATTCCTTTTTTTTTCTTTTTCTTTTTTTTCCCCAAGCCTGGCTATCTGCCTGTGGAAAAGGCAGTGTTTCAGGCCTCCATATTAACACCACCAAGCACTTATCCCAACTATCCCACCACTGGTCGTTCTGAAGCTAATTTATTTATCATATAGCCCCCCAAAATGTTTATTTGCTAGAGGAAAAAAGGCCTTTGACTGATTCATACAGGATAATACTGTGAATCTAACATTTCAGAAGGGGAGGAAAAAATTCTATTATTATTGTATGTAACATGTACAATATGTACATATTGTATAGTACGTACACAGTAATAATGACACACTCCACCTTCTATCACCTGGACCAAACCAGAAATTCTGCTGAATCAGAACATCTAATTGCAGCACAGGATGAATTTGCAAGAAAAGTTACTGTATTTTGTGTTTTACAAGAACTTTCACTGTACTTAAACACTTAAAATTTCAAAATATTTAGTATTTCTTCTAACATATACTTAAGGTCTTAATGAGACAAAGGAGCAACTTTACGTTATGGTCCCAACAAAGATTAAAATCTCCTCCTTCTGTCCTTCACCAACACATGAATTAAGTCCTACCAAACAATTTACTTATTACATACAAAAGGCTTACCATGTAGAAGTAAGATAGACAGCAGCAGATTGTCCAAAAGACTGACCCAGTTTTCACTGACTTCACCTTTAAAAATAATCAAGTATAGTAAACAAATATTGGACAATGATACAAAATTCAATTAAAAAAAAAAAAAAAGCTGTCAAGAAAAGTTCTTGGCATGAGACCCAACTTTGCAATTATAAAAAGCTATCCCGTGATTTTGAAAAACTCATTTAGGGTTAGTGAGAGCATCCAGATTTTACTAAAGGTACAGCAGCATCCACGAACTGGCTCAGGAATATGACTTTGTACAGAACAGATAGTGGTGAAATACTGGCATTAAACAAAGCCATGCAGTTATCTGTAAAATATTCTGCAAAAATTTATGCAGAACGCTATTGGCACTATGCAGTCTAGTTAAATGCGGGAGTTCCACTAGAGCAGATAACTGCTATTGTGTCTTAGTTATTAAAAAGTAACAACACAGGTTGATTCTATTATTATCCAAACCAATATAACTTTACAACTGCAATTTAAATTCAAATTAAGAAAACATAAAAATCATTAGCAGGCCTTTCTTCAGAACCTGCGCTTAATTATCACCAGTAACTTAATCATGAAAAGCTTGAATTTCCTTCTATTATGTTCTTACCAACAATATCCCAAGTTTGAAATATTCCAAAGCTAAAAAAATCTGCAAGTATGCATTTGTTTCTGGAAACTAGAATTCTTGACAAATTATGGGAAGAGCTGTAATGACTATGTACATAGTCCCTATTGAAGACATTCTGTGCAGCAATTGCATGCTTTAAAGGACAGCTCAAGGAACAGCACTGCTGTGTCCACGTTGAATTAACAATATGACTATGTTCTCTGTGTTATTTCCATAATAAATAGAACAGTCCCAAAAAACTCCAGCTTGCCTAACCCCCTTCACACAAAACAATGCGACAGATGAAGTTCTACATGCAGACTAAGGAGTGACAGATGAAGTAGGCTGTTTAAAAGGCATTAGACTATTGAACAATTTTTAAGCATGCAAGCAGTATGAATATCTTGCTCCATAGGCAGCTTTAGGTATTAAATTTGAATACTTAAGTCAATGTCTAGACATACAGTCAACAGCTTCTTCAGATGAGCCTCCTTAGCTGAGCTGGTGAAAAGCTGTAGACTGCAGGTTGTCGAGTCTGAGCTCACATAAACACCAAATACCTCTAAACCAAAAAATGAAAGCAACCCTACTGTTTCTTTAAACTTAGACTCATCATTACTACTACTACTACAGGACAGGCGTATTCCAGTTGAGCAATATTTTCATGTAATAAACTGAAAAGCACTATTATGGAGTGGTTCAGATCACATGACTTCTCAACACTTGCCTCATCCAAAGCCAAAGGCAAGAGAAATGAAAGGGAAGAAAATGAGATTTCAATGAATGCTAAGAAAAATCATTTGGTTGGAGGAGGAACCAAAAAAACGTTTCCAAAGCAAAAGATTCAGCAATTACTTACCCATAAATAGTATGTGAACTGCAGTGCAAAAATAGCTATGCCTTCATTGTCAAATGATCCTGCTACTGATCGAGATATGTAACCTGGAACTATGGCAATAAAACAGGCAGCTAAAAGCCCTGCCCCCTGGTTCCACAGTTCTCTGGTGAGCAGGAAAGTAGAAATAGCTGTAAGGCCGCTAAAAACGGGTGCTAGGAACACGCACACGTCTCTTATATGGACTGTCACGTTAAGCATATTTAAAATCCAATGTATAAGGCCTGCTGTCACCATCAGTCCTGGGTATACCTAAAGGGAGGGAAAAAATCTCGCTGTATTATTGTAGAAAATGGTCACGGTAAGTTTATTTGCATATATTTGCAAGGAAATACAATCATTTCTTAAGCTGATACAAGCAGTGAGCAGGCAGAGTTAATGGAATTATTTTAATACTGCTTTAATCATGTTTTGACAACACTGCTGAATACCCAAGGTTCTTCAAATTTTACCCAAATGCTAACAATTAGATATAATACATTTTCTAAATGAATAAGCAGCACACAGATAATATCCTATCTTCCCTGACATTTATCACATAACGAGCAGAATCTTCAGTTAAGGAATCAGAAACTAAAGTCTGTATGAAAATTTCAAGCCAGCTAACAGCTTTAAGAAAGAACAACGCAACAAAACAAATCCAAAACACAACCAAAACAACAAGAAGCTCCTTAACGTTTCTCAGCCGTTTCCAATTTTCTCTATAATACACCATGTCATTTATTTATTTCTTGTTACCCGTGGAGAAAGCAAATATGCATTGAAGTTTTTAAATTGAAAAATTGACTGACAGTCAGTTGAGTATTCTATATTTGCAAGATATCCATAGACATCTTAGATAGGAAGACTAAGGCAAAGTCCTACAGAACTGAATAAAGATGTCCTCCCGGAAAGAGCAGCATAGGTTCCATGGATTCATATCTATTGTAGAATACTAGAGAACTTTAAAATATTCTTAATAGGGATTGTACCTTTCCACATTTATCAACATTAAAAAAAATCAATATACAGTAATATATTATGGGCTATCTCTAAAACACTAAAACAAATAGTGATCTAATTACAAAAAGCTTTGTAAATGAATGTAAATGGTGTGCTCTCTAATTAAAAAGTTTTAATGTACTTTCAAGGTTAGATGTAGCTATGTTACTTGGAATTACTAAAGATATTCTAGTGAGCTATATTTGTATTCTAATTGATAATATTGTTTCACTTTTCCATTTGGTAATTTGGCATTGACATCAATCTTAGCCCCTCCTGATGCTTCATGTATGTCTCTTGACCACTCCTAGTTTAGTTTCAAAGGGTCTTTATTCAGTGAAACCCTCAATATAAATTCCACATGCAGATGATGCCCACTCAAAATACATAATTGACTTAGAATTTGAGTCATAGAAGAGTTAGATAATTGTTTTTCACTTTCTTTTCTTTTGTATTGTAACACTGTGTAATAGTTTCTCTACAAAGGAAAATCGAAGTTACAGGAGTCATAAAACCCCAACTTATTATTACAAGCTCATATGTAAGAAGGCAAAATTCAGTTCTGTATTTCTTGTTCACAGTAGACTGTTGGATGAGGTCTAATGCATGTTGACTTAATGTCTTAATTACTGCTGCTAAAAATTAAAAACATCATCTTATTCCCTCAACAGCAATGTGACAATTAAAAGTATTTTCGACCAAGATTCTCCCTCTAATGATGTCAAAGTTGTGTTTAAAGTTCAACAACATTACCACAAAGTCAACTTTAAGTTATTATTGTAATACTTACAGTTCCACCAACTATTCTTCCCAGTGGATACCATGCTCTTTCATCAAACCAGTTTAAAAATTCATAAAATCCATGGGATGCAAGATGATGTGTTGATCTATAGTTAAACCTAGAAAAAAAGAAAAGAACAGTGGAAAGGGAATAAAAAATCAAGAATCTTAGGTATAATGTAAGTCCTCTGAGATTTAGAAAGTAAATAAACTTCAACATCTTATTTACTATACAATGGTCCTCTCAAAATCCATAGATTTTTTTAAAGTAAATTACCAAGCTTGCAGTTATTAACAACCACATTGTCTCCATTTCTACAGCCTGTGCACATACACAGGTGAAATGTTACAGCCTTTTGTCGTGGTAAACATTAAACAGTTTTCTAGGACTCTGACACAAAGCCTATGTTAGTTCTGCATTCCCTTTTAAAGTAGTCTCTTCACCAATTTACATACCCTATCCAGAATACCACTTAAGTAAAACAAGACTATGGAAGAATTAATGCAGGACTTCCTTCTGAGTCAAGACAGCTACCCAGCACATCTGCTACTGCTCTATTTCACATAATGTTGAAAGATGAAGTGATGTCATAATATGAAATAAACACACTCTAATTGTTCACTCATTGTCAACCTGATGCCCTCTGCATAAATCTTTTCTTTCAAACAAGACCCTACTAACATAAGATAGAATCTCTGTAAATGAAATTTCAAAGTTTGTATGTATTTTCTGCATCAGAAAATTCTTTGCACAATTAAAGCCCTTCTACGTATGCCTTCACTTCAGCCTTCCATGCTGCCCATATAACACTGACAATCAATGCAATAATTGTCTGATTTTCTGCCAAATAATTAATTCTTCCAGTGTCTCCAACTTCAAGTAGCAACATCTTGCAACTATTCTAAAATTCTTCAAATTAGCTCATGCTGCTGTGAGGCAAGCTGCAGTCTATTTTACCCAAAAGAGTAACTCTTATATGTGCATTCTGGAGCCAAACCAATAAAGCCATAGGTATTAATGTGGAACAGCTTTGAGGAGAACAAAACAAAAACAACACCACAACTGAAAACTGAACAAGCAAACATTCGGCTTACAACAGCCTGGGTAAATGCCACTTCTAAAACAAGCAACTTCCATAAATCCAGCTCTCCTAATAGATATTCCAAATGGTGTTTAGCTAAAGATTACTTTTTTTTGCTAAGGTCAGATGATTAAATGGAAAACTGTAACAGAGAAGAGGTTAGATGGATGGGTAACCCACCGTGAAAGACTTCATTATAGTTTGCACTCAAGACTAGAAAAGCTTATACGTATTTTTTATTTCACCGATTTCCTGAAAGTATCCATTTACATCAGTAACAAACAAAAATTTAAATACTACATTAAGCTCTCCTGTATACTTAGGATTCCCAAAATACCACTGGTTTACTTTGAAATTATTCATTTCAATGCAAGGAAGCTCATGTCACTCAAGACTGCAAGACTCATCAAGCTCCTGCTCATTTAATCAGCAGAACAAGGCTAATATCTGAATGACAACCACAAAGAGGTTAGAGCAGTTCTTGCCTACAAAATGAAAGGATAAAAAGAATTGAAATTCAAATCCAGATGCCAGCAAACCCGTACGGTTCCACTCACTGAGCTATCACAGTATCAGTGAAGCGATATTAAAAAAAAAACAAAACAATAAATATAATAATGCAGTATTTCAGGAAAATTGTCCATCATAATCATTGATATAGGATACACTAACTGATAAAACTGTAGACCTTCTAAAGTATTTAGCCATTTTTATGTAAAAAATTCACATAAATATCAGTCATTATGACCTAGAAATCTATTTATCAAAAAAGCAACGTGACATTTGTTTTTAATAAGCCTGCAACCATTCCCATTTGACTACATTTCTAAATATGAATTAATTCTCCAGCTCTGAATGTCTGAATGGTCAACTGTAATATGATTTACGAAATGCTGTACCTGTAAAATTAGCCTCTTATCTTAGTGCAGTTTTTTGTTAATTTGTTTAGTGCCAAGAGCCTGCAGCATGGTACAAGACAAAACAGGAATTCGCATGCTCTCCAGCCAGTTGCGGTCCTGACTTAAATTGCACTGAAAACCCAGTCAACACTGCTATCCTATCCTGCTAAAAAGGAAACAAGAAAGATAATGCATTTACTAATATGGACTAATGTCAATTTTTTAAGTCATGGCTGGAGCTCACACAGGCTGCAGATGTTTACTCTAACAACATTAAAAGATAAGTTAAAAATGAAATAGGCAGGAATACATATTGACATTCTCCTCAAGTTTCAAACGAGTAAAGCTTCAGAAGTGACTTCAGAGGGAAGAGAACAACTGTCTTGTGCTTTGGCTGCAACCCATTATGTATGTAATTAGAATGAATTACCACTCAAAACTGAAACCCAACGTAACAGCATTTATACTTTTACTGCTTAAGATGAATGAATTTAATCTTCTCTAATACACTTTTTGTTAGATACAAATCTATTGACCCTTCCTTTTGAAAGGTGATGGATTCTTCTATAGTAGGTTAATTTTTCACTGTGAGGTGTCCTATAGGTAGAACAAGAAACAGCCTTCAGACCAGAGAAATCTAAAGAAATAGTATTTAGAAGCTTAACTGCAGAACCTCACTGTGACTTCAGGAAAAAAAAAAAGCACTCACTTCCCCTTCCATCGGGTAACTTGCTAGCAAAAATAAATATGTGGATATAAGCATAAGCATACATAAGCACACATCTGCTGAGTAATGCTGTGCAAGGACCAACTTTAGGCGCTGACAAAGCAGCAGTGGTGGGCAGTGTACCAGAGAGCTGAACACGACACCCAAATTATGCTTTGATACTGCTTCCCTGCTTCATAGTGAACTGCTCCTACAAGGACAAGCCTGAAGCTTGTAAAACTGTTTCCCTTTCATCAGAACACAGAGAGATGATAACAGCATGTACTGCAAACAATACTCCAGATGGTTGTGGTCAGCAGCTCTTTGTCCAAGTGGAGACTGTGCACAAGTGCTGCCCCAGGGGTTCTCTTCCACATCTTTATCGGTGATGTTGAAAGTCCAGTGGGATTAAGGGCAAGTTTGCTAATGAAACCAAGTCAGAAGGAAGAGATGACATCCGGAGGGACGTGGACAAGCTTGAGAATGAAATGAGATTCAACAGGGCCCAGTGTAAGGCATTGCACTTGGTTAAGGCAACCCCAGATATACGTACAGACTGGCAGAAGAACTCACAGAGAGCAGCACTGCCAAGAAGGACCTGGTGATGAAAAGTTGGACATGAGCCAGCAGTGTGCATCTGCAGCCTGAAGGCCAGTGGTATCCCGGGCTGCATCAGTAGAGGGGTGGCCAGCAGGAAGAAGGAGGGGATTGTCCCCCTCTCTTCTGCCCTTGTGAGAGCTCATCTGAGTACTGTGTCCAGGCCTGGTGCCCCACTACACAAAGACATGGAGCTGTCAGAGTGGGTCCAGAGGAGAGTCACAAAGACTAGCAGAGGACTAGAGCACCTCACCTACAAAGAAAGGCTGAGGGAGCCAGGCTTGTTCAGCATGGAGAAGAGAAGGCTGTGGGAAAAGATCATAGCAGCCTTCTGGTACTTAAAGGGAGCTTATAAACAGGGGGAGACTAATTTTTTACAAGGTCCGATAGTGATGGGATGACTTTTTTTATAAAGAAAGAGAGATGTAAATGAGATGTTGAGAAGAAATTCTTTAGTCAGAGGTGGTGAGGCACAGGCTGCCCAGAAAGGTTGTGGATATTCCATCCTTGGAGGTGTTCAAGGCCAGGCTGGATGGGGCATTGGGCAACCTCATCTAGTGGGTGGCAATTCTGTCCACAGCAGGGAGCTGGAACTCTATCTTTTAAGGTCCCTTCCAACCCAAGCCATTCTATGATTTTACGATCCCACAACACTCGTGCCATCTTGGTACTTTACAGGCTGTGCTAGAAAGTGGTACAGCGATACCATATTTCTACAGATGACACATGCAACCACCTACACGTTCCACAGTGTCAAAAAATCTCAGGGAATACAGATGATATATGATACATATATGATATTTTGCTTATGGCCACATCCCAAAGGTTGGAGGGTGGCACATCTCAGCCCTAGTATCCCCATCTTCACCAGTTCTTCTATCCCAACAGACATCAAGGACTTTTTCCAATTCCTTTCCTGACTGGACAGAGATCAGGCACACCAGGACTGGAGGAGGCTGCTGGTTACAGTGACTGAATAGTATGTAGTACTGTGTGACAGGATCATCTTAAGGAAAGGATCCCTTTTCTCCCTCCCTCAGCCACCTGATCTGGAGATATGAACTGTTCACCCATCTCGCAAGATTCTCTTCCTCCCTTTGAGGCAAGTGAGTATGAGAAGAATGAAGAAGATTATGTGAAACGCTTGTCTAATTAAGAACTTATCTTGAAAGCCTGAGGTGAACATTCACGTTCTCAACCCACACTGTGAATAAGATACACATTTGCTATCAGTTAGCAAAGAGCTCTTAAGAACTTGACTGACTGAATACTTGTGTGTACTGACTTTTCTTATTTTAGCTGACATTCTATGAGGAAAATGATGCTCTGCTGTTCTCCTTGCCTCTTTCTATCAAGTCTGTAGTTTGAACTATCTCCTCCTCAGAGCTAGTTTTTGAAGGAATCAAACAATCCTCTTGGTACATTTCAGAATTAGAAGTCTCAGCCACCAAATTAGCTTAGTTTGGACCTTTTGGGGAGCACTCCAGCTTCACTAAGATGATGCTCTATGCATGGTACTATTAATTTCTAGTGATATTTCTGGCGATCTTCTGGCAACTATTGAAGATATCTGTATTATGATAGGTAGAGTGAATACCTATATTGGAGAAATCTATATTATAGTAAGTACAGCAGAAGACTAAAGAATTGTTAGGAAGCATGGTTCTCATTTTCAAAGCATATTTTAATTTCAGCTTGCAGCTGAGCAAAAGCAGCAACAGCAAAATAACTGAGCGGAGGCAGCATTTCTAGTAGTAGCAAAATTAACTTGAAAACTTTACTAAACAGCTTGCAATACAAAGCCTGTGAGAATTTTCATTTACATATTATGTACT